GGTTGGGACGAACCGGTCTAGTTTTGGAACGGCCTGTTCCGGGATAGAAATTTTAAGGTTTTTTGGAAAGTTAGAACGACCCGTTCCAGATTGGGAACTACCCGTTCTGGGCTAGAAATTTTATAAAAATTACTAAATTACTCTCCATAAAATTATAAACAATGAGGTGTTACATTTGGCTTCCATATTTTTGTCTTTTTTATTCTTTTTTTGTATATACCTTTTTTGCTGTTTTTTAAACAAAAATTGACATTTCCCAGACGAAATTGGGTTACTACGTTAGTGGATATTTAAAACTCCTAAAGATTGTTATTCTCATCAAATAAAAATTATTCTCATAACTGCTCCATCAAACCCATTTATGATTTAGTCTTTAATTATTTATTTATTTATTTATTAGTCCCTTTATATATCACATATTTCCTGCATGAGACATAATTATCTTACATTCTCCCACTTGACTCATGTGTCATTTCTCACAACGGACAAATAAATAAATAAATTAAATTAACATAATGCGCATTAAAATGGCTAAATAATTTTATACATTGGGTTCATCATAATTTCATATTTAAAAATATGAACTAATTTGAGTCATGGCAGTTGTACATTAGTTTAATTGACATAGTCCCTTCCATATACTACAAACAAGTCTTCTTCTTAATCTGATCATTAATAAGGAGCACATAATTGGTCCAACATAATATCTTTATTCAAGATAACACCTATTTACATTACTCTAACACAAATATGCATAAAACCATAGAGAATAGGTACTCAGAAACATATCATTAATGAGCTCAAAATGTCAATCACTTAATATAAAATAAACATAATACTCAACAATCATTAGTAACAATAATGCCCATATTTTTAACATGCTCGATAAATGTTTTGGGCAGTAATCCCTTTGTTAAAGGGTCAGCTATCATAAGGTTTGTGCTAATATGTTCTATTGACACTCTTTGTTTATGAACTTTTTCCTTCACGACAAAGTACTTTAATTTCATATGCTTAGCACCCTTAGAGTACTTGTCATTCTTAAAAAAAAAATACTGCTACAGAATTATCAAATTACATTTTCAGCAACTTGGCAATACTGTCGACAATTCCAAGCCCTGAAATAAAGTTCTGCAACTAACTAGTCTGAATTGTAGCCTCAAAACATGCTACAAATTCCACTTCCATAATCAATGAAGCAACAACTGTTTGTTTTGCACTTTTCCATGATATTGCTCCTCCAGCTAAAAGAAATACATAACCAATAGTGGATTCTTTTTGAATCCACACATCTAGCAAAATCAAAATCTGAATATCCAATCACCTTAAGGTGATTAGGCCTCCTATATGTAAGCATGTAACACTTTGTTCCCTATAAGTATATCTCAGAACTTTCTTTGCAGCTTTCTAATGTTCCATTCCCAGATTACTTTGGTATCTTTCTAACATTCCAATTGCAAAGCCTATATCTGGTCGAGTACAGATCTGAGCATACATGATTCCAAGTCATTTTAAAGGCATTGAGTGAGACTAAACTTATCTCCTTTATAAATTGGAACGGATGATGCTGAGCACTTTTCCATCCTGAATCTCTCTAGTACTTTATTGATATATGCTTTCTAAGACAAGCCTAACAGTCCTTGTAACCTATCTCAAAATATTTTTATTCCTATCACATAGCTTGCCTCGCCCATATCTTTCATTTCAAAGTTACTAGAGAGAAACTTCTTAGTCTCATGAAGAAGATCAAGATCATTAGTTGCAAGCAAAATATTATCAACATACAAAATTAAAAATATAACTTTTACTCCCACTGATTTTTAAATATATTCATCGATCAACAATGTTTTCTTTAAATCCAAAGGAAACAATGGTATCATTAAACTTTAAATACCATTGGCGGGAAGCTTACTTAAGTTCATATATTGATTTCTTTAATTTGCACACCATGTGTTCCTTTCCTTCAACTGAGAACCCCATTGGGTGGTCCATGTAAACATTCTCCTCCAAATTTTCATTTAGAAAGGCGGTTTTCACATCCATTTGATATAGCTCCAAGTCATAATGAGCTACTAATGCCATGATAATTCTAAAGGAATCCTTTCGTGAAACGGGTGAAAAAATCTCTTTGTAATCAATGCCAACCTTTTGAGTAAAATCCTTAGCAACAAGTCTAGCCTTGTACCTGTTCAAGGTTGCCGTCAGAGTCACGTTTAGTCTTAAAGACTCACTTACAACCAACTCTCTTGCAACCTTCTAGCAATTTTACAAGGTCCCAAACATCATTTTGTTCTATGGATTTTAATTCTTCTTTCATAGCATTTAACTACTTTTCAAAATTATCACAACTTACAGCTTGTGAAAACGAAACTGGATTATTTTCATTAATGCTTGAGTCAGTTTCTAACTCATGTAGATATACCATATAATCATTCGAAATAGCTGGTCTCCTTTCTCTTTGTGACCTCCTTAATGTTATTTCTTGTGATTGTTCTACAATAGGTTCATTCTAAATCATGGGTTAATTATTGTCTTGCTCTTCTTCATTGTTATTTGACACAACAGTTAGAAGAACACTTACTTTATTGCTAGAGGCATAAGTCAAAGGAACTTGCATTTTGACCTCTTTGACTTCCACTTTCTGTGGAATTGTACTCCCACTAACTTCACCATTTTCAATGAACCTTGCATTTCCAGTTTCAACAATACTATTATTAGGACAATAAAACATATACCCCCTTTGATTTTTCTGGATAACCAATGAAATATCCACTGATTGTTCTTGCATCCAATTTCTTTTCATATGGATTATAAATCCTTATTTCTGCCTAACAACCCCAAACATGCAGGTGTCTTAAACTAGTTTAACAAATACATAGCAATTTTCAAGGCATACATCAACAAATATATGGGTAAAGTTGAATTACTTAACATACTTCTAACTATATCCATTAATGTTCTATTACGCCTTTTTGATACACCATTTTGTTGTGGTGTACTTGACATTGTACATTGAGCACAAATGCCACGTTTCTGAAGAATTTTAGCAAATGGACATGGGTATTGTCCAGTTTCATTATATCTTCCATAATACTCACCACCTCTATGAGATCTTACAACTTTGACCCTTTTGTCTAATTTCCTTTCTACTTCATCCAAGTAAATTTCCAAGGCACCGACTGCTTGAGATTTCTCAAGCAATAGATATACATAACCATAACGTGAATAGTCATTTATAAAGATAATGAAGTATTTTTCCTTTCCGAAAGAATTGATATCAAAAGAACCACATATATCAGTATGCATAATTTCAAGAAGCTGAGTGCTTCTTATAGCTCATTTCTTTGTATGTTTTGTTTGTTTTCCTTTAATACAATCCACCTCAAATATTTAGATCCATGAAATCTAGATTCAGAAGAATTTTATTTATTTTATTTTATGAAATTCATGAATGACTTTAAATTGGGACTAGTAAAGTTTTTTATTTAATTGGAATTAATTGTATGATGAATTTTTTAGTCACCAATGTGGCCAAATTTTATATTTAACTCCAAATTAATGGTGATTTAATTCAATTATCCATAGAATAATGGATGCTAAATAAAATAATTTGTTTGTTTATGGGTATATTAAAACTCATTATTATAAGACATTTATGTATCGCCCAAAGGGTGATTAGTTGTTATCATAATTAATGAATATAATTGTGTGTGACTTATGTGTACGATGAATTATAATCAAATTTTCTACTATTTTTTAATACATTAATTATAGAAAATTAAAGGATCTTTGAAATTCATGATACTCACATAATAATAAGAAAGTGTGTACCTTTCTTCATAATAAAAATCTCCTTTGATCCTTAGAGTGTTTTGATCTTCTTGAGAAGAGAACCAAGATTTCACTCTCTTTGACTTTTCTTTATACTCTCTCTATCTTTCGAGATGGCTAGGGTTTGAGAGAATACTTTCTGTTAGGGGGGTGGACCTTGTCTCACATTAGTGGATATTTATAACCCCTAAAGATTGTTATTCCCATCAAATAACAATTATTCTCATAATTGCTCCATTAAACCCATTTATGATTTAGTTTTTAATTATTTAATTATTTATTTATTAGTCCCTTTATATATCACATATTTCTCATATGAGACATAATTATCTTACACATATATCATAAATAAATAAAATTTATAGAAATAAAAAGTAAAAACTGTTACTGTATATTTACGAATATGGAAAAGGACTAAAAAAGTATAACATAATTGTTGTACAATTTTTTTTTGTTATTAGAAGAATTCACTTACTCTCATACTAACTCTTGGTATAGTTATTTCATTCAATAATTTATTACTTATATTAAATTTTAATTACCCAACTCTTAAATTCATTAATAAATTAAATTTATAAATTTTTTAAAATTTAAAAATTATATTATATTTTATTACATAGATTCAAATTAGTGTATAATATATTTTTTATGAATATTTTAATTTGAATTAACATATATAAAATAGTGTTATATAGTTTTGAAATTTTGCAAAATATTGTAATTTGATATATTCATTATAACCTTTTAATTTAATGATTGAATCATTAAAATTTAATATAGAAAATTAATTATTAAATAAAATATAATAACTCTATCAAATTTTTTTGGAGTTACTATATTCCTTCTCATTTTATTTTAGTAATAAAAAGTTTAAATTAGAGTAACTCATGATCATGCAATGTTACCAATCAAAACTTCTTTGAAAATTTCCAATAGAATTAAAGTCGATCCTTTCCCCTAGATTATAAATTGTGTGAAAGGATATAAAACTAAAGAGAAACGGGATCTAATTTGATTGCATAAAAGAAAAAAGAATTTTTAATACGTGATTAGAATGAGTATTTTACTTCTGGCCCATAATTAATTGCAGTGTTATAAAAAAGACCGGGCGAGGTCCTCATTGTAAGTCTTGTATGACCTTATGCGTGTTTTTCACTACACTGCCCAACGACAATTCTTGGTGTCAAAATCGTCAAATCCCAAACTTACGTTGGCCTCGTCTTTCTCCTTTCACTATAAAATCCCATACATCCATCAATCTTCATCATCATATCCATACATAGCTCCTCTCACCCTCGACCAATTAGTCTATAATCCTTCCTATTCTCCTCCCTCCTTTAAAACTTCACTTCAAATACCTCGCACTTACATTTCATAGCAATTCATCATGGAATTGGACTCGCACAAGCAACTAGTTTCCCTCTTATGTCTTCCCCTAGTACTTCTACTATTCTCAGGTATGATTTAAATTATACCCAAATTGAATATCATCTATATATATGCCCCTCTAGCTCCAAAAAGAAAATCACTATACACAATGAATCTTTCATCCTATAATTAGCTTGTTGATAACACATTATCACTTAATCATTTTCCTTGACTGGTTAATCAAAATTAAGCTAAGACCTTAACTAATAAGTGTTATACTGTGTGTACATAAACCACTAAGGTGAGGATTGAAAAATAGTGTCTTATATTTTAATCTTGGTGTTGTTATCGTAATTTTTGTGTGTACGTTATTACAGGACATATGGGACTGCAAGCTGAGGCTCGCTTGCAACATCATGAGATGAATCATTCTCCGAAAACGTTGTTTGTTTTTGGGGACTCATATGTTGATACCGGGAACACGAGAAAAGATCAACCTGGTTCGTGGAAAAACCCTTATGGCATAACTTTTCCCGGTAAACCAGCCGGTAGATTCTCCGATGGTAGAGTTTTAACCGACTTCATCGGTGAGTGTCTCTCTCTCTCTCTCTCTGATGCTGTCAATTAATTGGAACACTAAGAAAGTGCTTACTTTTTCCGTTTTTTGGTTTGTTTAATCACTATACATCTTTTCTTCACTTTATCAAGAAAAGTTCATGCGTTTCCAATTCAGATATGTGCTTTCTTCAATTCCTATGTATAAAATAGTTAAAGGAAAAAAGTTTTCGTGACGATACCACTATAGGTGTAAGGAGAGATACAAGAAAGAAGAGTTACGAATTAATAATATATATCATATCTTGGTGACGTGTGTGATGGAAAAATTATATAAATATAATTGAAATTGTTTAAGTATAAAAATTAATTAATGTGAAAAATATCATAATTGATTATCATATACAGCATTGTCTCGCTATTGATAATAGTTTAGTTTTGAAATGGGTGGGGTTCGTTTCTTCGTTGGCTGGCCACTTTATCTTTTCTTGTGCTATTATCCATAAAATTTAGGTATATCTGCCTTACGTTATTTGGAGCCGGTGAAATGTGCTACATTATTGAGTGGAAAAAAAAAACGAAAGCTACATTATTGTGTTCGTGCTGTCTTATATTTTTAAGATAATCTTCATTATTGCAATCATGTTTCACGTTGAAACTATACATACTCGCATAATTCGCATTTTTTTATGGGAAAAAATAATAGTGTCGTACACATTAATTATAATGTTTGAATTCCAACAGAAATCAAATGATAGGATATCTCTTTTACAACTCACGTTTAGATCCAGGCACTTTCGTCTTTTATTATATACGAAATAATTACAATTAATATTTTCTTTTCTGTAAGTGAGGATTTGAAGTTGCATTTAAGACAACCTATTATTATGGAATTGATATATAATTTCATTAAAAAACTACTATACATTTATAGTATTTTTCAAGTTTCAACCATACATTAGAATCGTTAAAAAAAAATATATACATTAGAATGATACTTCTTGTTCATATAAAACTGAAAAGGTACCTTTGGCTTTATAATATATCCATATTTTTCTTCTTCCTAGGAACTTTTATGACCACTAGTCTTGTTCTAGCTGGACCGCTACAGCTTTGTCCGTAAAAGTAAAAGTGAAGATAAATGAAAAGACTATTATATTTATCAGTTTTTATTACCAGTAATATTTTTGTTTGTACCAATAAAAATAAAAAGAAATTCATGCCAGATAACTATATACAAAGATGTTTGGAGATGGGGTAGTATTACATTTCAACTATATTGACGTCATCGAAATTCATCATAATTTATGAATCATAAAGTTATATTTTACTACAAATACAATACTATGTTTTTTTCCTTCATCGCATCAATCAATTTATCTCGCGGCTTTTCTCTTATTGTTAAATAAAAAATCATGTAAAAATATATAGTTCATATACAATTTTTCTTTTTTGTTTTCCTGCTTCATCTTGTAACATTTAATTAATTGTGAAACTATATTGGTGCAGCTAAGTATCTGGGACTCAAATCGCCACTACCCTATAAGTTTAGGAAACTGATGCCACAGCATTTGAAAAATGGGATGAATTTTGCATATGGTGGTACCGGTGTCTTCGACACATCCTCCAAAAACCCAAATATGACAATCCAAATCGATTTCTTCAAAGAATTGATCAAAGAAAATGTGTATACCACCTCAGATCTCAGCAACTCAGTGGCCCTTGTCTCCGTTGCTGGAAATGATTACAATTTCTACTTGGCCACAAATGGCTCTTTGGAGGTAAATTAACTCGAATAATCTATAATATTTTTCTAGTTAATCTGCATGTGTTTGAATGAACATTTGCAAACTCGGATATTAACTGTTTTTGATTTTGTAAAATTAACTTTGTTAAAATTAAAGTGGAACTTAAGTATTTCATATGTAAATATTTTCTCAAAAAACAAAAATTAATTATCATAAAAAGTGGTATGGAAATTTTAACCTTTGGCAAAAGTTACATAAAAGATGCTACGTACTAAACTCATCTTTATATACAAAAGCATTTTCCCGTTTGAAACGTTAGCAAAATTTGTTTAAACAAATTTCAAAAATACCAAAAATTGATGGCAAGGTCCAAACGTGTCTTTGGAAACACAAACTCCTTTATTCTTCCATTAATTTCATAACATTATGTTATTCTTTTGTCATCAAAAACAATGTTAACACCCAATTCTGATTCACTCACAACTCATGTGTTAAAATATCAGAAAAGAATCTTTTTGTATAAACTTCTACAAAAGACATTTTTACAAGAAAAAATGAAAATAATTATTTCACTTTCTTTCTCTCCTAAAAGCATTACTGGAGAAATTTGTAGAGACCCTTATTCATGTTTACTTTGCTCACTAAGTTTTCACTTATTTCCCTTAATGTATATAGGGTTTCCCTTCTTTCATAGCCTCAGTGGTTAATCAAACTGCCACCAACTTGTTACGCATCCAAAGGTTGGGAGTGAGGAAAATTGTTGTGGGTGGTCTACAACCACTTGGATGTCTTCCTTCAACCACAGCCACATCCTCGTTCCAACAATGCAATAGCACCTTCAACGACCTCGTAGTTCTCCACAACAACTTGTTGAACCAAGCCGTGACCAAGTTGAACCAACAAACCAAGGATCACTCCACCTTCATAGTTCTCGACCTCTACGACAGTTTCATGTCAGTGCTTAACCACCCATCCACCAGCAACATAAAGGACCAGTTCAAGCCTTGTTGCGTTGGGTTAAGCAGCCAATATTCTTGTGGGAGCGTGGACGAGAACAATGTTAAGAAATATAGCGTTTGTGATCATCCCACATCAACTTTCTTTTGGGATCTCTTGCACCCAACTCAAGCAGGTTGGCATGCCGTGTATAACAAGTTGCAAACGACGAGTGCCCTTCAACAACTCAGATACTAGAGTGCTACATATGCACAATGATTCTCTTTGGATACAAATTAGAAACCCTTTTAAACGGAGTATTCTTTATTAGAGAAATTTCTAAAAATACTTCTAAACGTGTATCCAACTAAACTTAATAACTATTTCGAAGCCTTCTGTTTGTTGTTTAATAATGCAACCTCTTTCGATTAGTTGATTCATCCTCAATTTGTCATTTGTTTGTATTTATTCCGAATGCTTTTCTTCTATGGGTGAAATTTAAAATTTGAATAGATTGTTCTTTTAGTGATAATTTATTATTTAATGATAATTTATCGAATCATATCGAAAATGACGATTCAAAATTAATATCATAAGATACTTTTCTCGCACAAAAATTTAACTGTAGCATTTAATTAATTTGTTTCAATACAATCTCAAAATAAATGATAAGATGACATGTACCTAAGCAACTCTGGAAAACGCTTAGTTAGGTGAATGAACAAGAAAACAAAGGTGTGATTTGCCTGAATAGTAAACATAAAAATGTAAAAGAAAGCGATAGAAGTTGAGGCCATGATAGATAAAAAAAGATAAATTAGATTTATTGATAGATGTTCTGTTCTGTCACTTCAAAATGAAGTAAAAATATATCTACATATTGTTGAAAAATCAAATATTTTAATTCAACACAATTTTCTATTTAATAATTGCCTTAAAGGTGGGGTGCACTTCGTTTTGCTAAGTTTACATTGATTTAATCGATCTAGACAGTTAAAGTAGCTTGCGCTAGTTTAACTAATCTTGATTTCATTCAACTAATTTGTAAGTTTAGCTAATCTTAATTATATTCAACTAACTTGTGGGAGTTTGGCTAATGAAAATAATTTAGGTATGTTTTTTTAAATACGGTTTGTGTTGTTCTTCAATTATAATTAAAATTTTATTTCTGTAATATATGTAAATATATATTAATGAGATCTGCATTAAATATAAATGCATATTATTAAAATAAAATTCTAATTCTAAGATGAAAAATAACACTAACTACATTTAAAGAACTGGACATAAGTTAGCATTTATTTAACTAATCTTAATAGTTACATTAAACTAATTTGTGCTAGTTTAACTAATCTTGATTTCATTCAACTAATTTGTGTTAGTTTAGCTAATCTTGATATTATATTCAACTAATTTATACGAATTTATTTAAAGATAAAATTTAAATACAATTTCTTATATGTGATTGATGTCATTATTAAATTAGAATTGAAGTTTTACATCATTAATATATATAAATGTATATTAATAAGATATACATTAAATATACATTAAATATATAAGTATGTATTTTTTTTTATAATTAAAAACAAGTTCATATCACTAAGGTAAAATTTTAGTTGTAATTAAAAAAGTAACACTAATTACAACAAACGAACTGTAACTAAATTTTGTATTTAACTAATCTTATGGTTACAAACTTTTATGCTCCCTAAATTCCAGCCAATATCCCTTTTTTATCAGTATGTTTATCAGCCACCAAAGACCATTATCTTTTTTATTTGAAAAGACTCAACTATCTTCTATTTTGAAGGAAACACTATCTTCTGTCAATATCACTACTCCCCGTATCTGATATTTGAAAAGCTTATAGAATTATCGGGACCACATTATCCTTGTTGAATATTCAGCTAACAATGAAAGGCAAAAGCATCAATAGCTGGTATTTTGAGATCAAATTAATAGATCAATAGACACTTTCGATGCTCCATCAAATCAAAATTTAAATAAATTTAGAAGTAATTTTGAAATAACTCTTTATTTTTAATATAAAAAAAAAACTCTTAAAAACGTTTTTAATTTTATCTAAACAAGCTTTTAATCTATATTGCAACTAACCCCTTCGAATAATTCCAAATCGATAATTTGATAATGAATGCTTTAATAAATGGTGTTCCTGTGGCTGATCCCACAACTATTTCTTCTAATATTTGACTAATAGCTTTATGTCTCTTCCTTTCTAAAAATAATTACAGCCTCTTGAAGCCATTTTATCAACATTTATATGAGTCCATTAAGACAATTAATAACGATTCAAGCCCATTTTGACTTGGTATATCTGCATTCAATAGTTAGGTCCAATCGATCTCGAGTCAACTGATTGACGAAATTTAGTTGAATGACTCAATACATGTTTCCCACCCACGCACACTAATAGTTTCAAAGCACATCTTAACTTAGTAGCTTCAGCTGATCTTAATTTAGCTAAGTTCTCCCAAAAGGATTCAACAATTTGCAATCGGCTTCAACTACTGATTTCCTCGGTTAGTTAAATTAGATAATCATTAATAAGCTAATATCAATTATCAACTAATAAACGATCAACAATTTTTTGGAATCAATAAATACTAATAATACTTGGTAAAAAGAACCAGTAGAATTAGTCTGATTATAAACTATTTGAATAATAATTTACGCAAAATTCTAAGCTTAAACCTCAATATGCCAAAAAAAAAATGATTAGTCACATTGAAAGTGAATTATCACTACAAGAAATTCGTCATTTTCCAGGTTTTTTTTTCATATTGTGGCGGTTTTTGCCTTCCTCAAAATAAGTAATGGCGTTTTATAAAAATGTCGCAGTTACATTCGCTACAAGCATTATACGACGTTTTTTGCCAACCTTCGCTACCTTTTTCATTATGTAACATTTTGTTTAGAGGAGGTTTTTGACCTCCTCAATTTGAATGATGTTTGTTTTTTTTAATTTCACAACATATTTTACTTTTTTTAATCTAAATTATATTTAACCTGTATACAAAAAAAATAAGGAGATACTCATAACATAATTCAAATTTCATTGGATAATATTAACTTTTTTATTAAAAATAAAGAGGAATTGATGGGAGTACAAACTACCAATACAAAAAACTCATAATATAAATAACAAGATGCCAAATAAAAAAGAGAATAACAATCTAATAAACAACGGTAATCAAACATTTGATATCTGTAACAACAAGACCACATTGAGTGCAGAATTTAAAGTCAAATTTCTGCTCCAACCATATAGAATAACAACAATCAAAACTAATTCAAAAATCCAAGTTGACAACAAATAGACCACCACAAAGCACCCATATATAACGTACATGATAATTTTATAACTACACCACCTTATGATAATTTTATAACTACACACCACCTTACGTAAGAATGGTGCCTAATATATATCTGTATTTATTAATATGGGTCCACCACTTAAAATTATTAATGAATTTATCTTTCACAATTTGATTATGATATATAAAAAAGCTGAAGACTTTAAGTTACCAAGCAACAAGCTTACCGCTGTACCAAAGCTCTCCCTTAGTTTTTAATGGAGAAATAAATCATGGTAGCCACAAATGGTATGACCAAATCCACCAGGGACTGCAGCCTGCCAAACATATCCTCAATTGTAGTAGATAAAGACTAAAGCAAACGAGAATTTTATGAATAGAAATGAAATTCTTCCGCAACCTATAACATCTGCAATTTCAAATTTGTATGAACATTGGACTATCATTATCCAATTTTACTTACTATTGAGTTCTATTTTTCTGCTTATTTTTTCTTTTTAATAATCTAATTGAAGATATTCAATCCTTCTATCACTCATAAAAACAGAAAAACAAACAACCATTTTCAACATATTTCAACAATCACGAACCCTATGACAACCATTGCCAAACACTCTCTCTTTAATAGATGAAATTGTAGAAAAAACAATTAATTTAAAGATTTTATTATAGTTATTCAACAAGAACAACATTCATACAAGAATCCAATCAATTTAAAGATTTCATTAAAGTTATTAGGATCCTCACCATTTACGATACTTCCCTTGCAGTGCCCACGATGTACTCAAACTCCTTCCACTATTTCTTAACAGAGGCTGTGACCACTTTTTAGAGGAAAGGAAGAGGAAACAACCACCACATTGAATCGAACTTGAAACACCAAAAGCGAGGGCGAGAGAAAGGGTCGAGAAACCAACCACGAATGTCTTCGAAAATGCGAAAAGGAGGGAGATTGACCCTAACGTCTTCGTCTAGGGAGGAGAAGGGGAGAAGATGGGAGGAGCGGTGGTGCACGCGGATGGGAGGAGCGGAGTGATAAGAGGAAAACGTGGTGATTGAAGGAGGGATTGGGTGAAAAAAAATTATGGGTGTAAAGTAAAAGAGGGAAAGTGGTGAAAAAGTTTCCGGGAAAAATTATATATGAATTTGGAAAGGCATAAACCTCTTCAAAAATTAATAGAAACCTCTGTTTTTTTTCACAATTTTAAGTGTTCCTCAAACATGCCACAAGCCATGTTAATTTGAGGGGGGTTTTAAAACTCCCGTAAAATAACCTCGATAAATAACATTTTTTTGTAGTGTATAAAACACTAAAATATGTTGAAAATAACAATCAAAGTACAAAATCATAAATTATATGAGTAGTTGATATATGTTGAAAAGTACAATTTAATTAAATTTTTTTATTTCTATCTTATAATAAGTATTGTTCTAGGCTAGTTTAAGTAGACTAAAAAAAATCAATAAATAGATGGAAGAGAATAACAATTTTATAAATTTAATATTATAAGTAATCTTCTTTATTAGAAAAAATGCAACATAACAACCACTTTCAACATAATATTATTATGGGTATAAATGCAAAAAAATATAATTAATATTAAATTAAAAATCTAACATAACATTTATTTTGGGATGAAATTTTTTTTCTAATACTACATTTATTATGGGATGGAAGGAGTGTCTATATTTGTTGCATATCATACTTTGTTAATTTAATAATAATTATTTTAAAAAATATTTAAAATAATTTACAATTGGTTAATAAATAATATTAAAATTAATATCGATCTAAAATTTATTTTGATTTTTTTCATTAAACGTTCTATGAATATCAATTCAAAATTTTGAATTACATTGCGCTTTCTTCTTCGATCAAAAGGTATACTTTTTATAATTTCTAGACTATAGGATCACAAAGTCAAGTTGTTTCTGAAGTGCAATAAAATTTTGAAACAAAAATAAGGTTGTGTAATTGTTGGTACAAAAAATGTTTGGTTGGAATAACCTTTATACATCAACTACTAGAAACGACGACTAAGTTTAACATAGGTAGTGACACGATGACTATTGATGCATTACAACAAAATTTATTATTAGTAACAATTATTTAATGGTAATAAATTAATTTCCTTTATTTTATTATTTAATAAAAATATTAATGACTAATA